GAACCATTTTCATTCTAGGTTGTTACTATTATTATTATTTGTATTAAGGGAAGATTTACAGATCCACCAGTGTCTCTTTCAACTATAAGCATGACAAACAAAAAACCGAACACGATGTTTTTCCTGGAAAGCTTATAGTTCAATCAAAACCTAAATGTTACATGTAAGGAGCTAGAGTAAGGGCCTGAAAAAGCAAAAAAAAAATTGGGACCCTAGGGCTGTACCCATTAACTGCATCATAGAAAACATAGGTCTGGCCAAGGGACTGAAAGGAAAATTAGCCCAATAGAAGACAGATTTTGAAAAGGGCCTTGAAAGACAGGGCAAGAATTATTAGAGTAAGTAGCAAAGACCTAGGAAAAGGCTTTAAGGGAAGGTAGGAGAAACTGTCTGGATATCCCTGCTGCTTCCTCGTTTCTCTAAGGGGCAGTATAACCCTACCTTGAAAATGCACACCACTAACATCCCACCAAATCCACTCCAATCTTAGTACCAAAACAGAAAGAAAATTAGGAGCTCAAAACAGATATAGCAGCGCCCAGACTACTGAATTTGTTGTACCAATTACCAAGCTGCAATATTACATATTCTCCAACCAAATACTATTAGCGTGGTTCTCAAAGCAATTCAAAGAGACTGCTGTACTTCATCAAATTATTTTTGGACATCCCACAAGCTTTCAAGAGAATGACAGTCCTTAAGTGTAAAGCAAACAAGACCATTTGTTCACAGACTTCAGTACAATCTGGTTTTCAAAAGCTTGCTTTTTCTACTTGTATTTTTATATATGTTCTGAGGTAAGAAAAATCTTTGCATTTCTCAAACACCAGTCTTTTTTGTTCTTTTAAGAGAGCAAAAGGTGTTTTCCAATACTCTGTTAAACAAGGATTCACATCTTCCAGTCTGCAGGGAAAGCAAGCTGAGGCATCAAAAGTATTGCAGTTAGTGAATTTAATCCTCCTGATGCAATCAGTCTGCAATGTGATCTGATTAAATTTAAAGACTCAAACCTGAAGTCCAGTACTTTAGCTCCAGAGATAAGTAGACAAATAGTATGAAAGAGCAGTCAGCTGTGGGCTTAAATAAACCCTAGACTCCACAGTTCAGGTTAAGATTTCTAAAGAATGCAGACCAGGTGGATTGATTTAACACAGCATAAAAAAAATGCCTGGGAAAGAAAAATATGTACGTCAAAAAATAATTGTGAGACTGTTTACCCCGTGTAAAATAATTAGCAGAATCTGTGACAAATTTCTGCACATATACCCACACTGCCACCATCAGCCTCGCTTTCTCATTTATTTAGGTGAACCTGTAAATTGGCAACAGGCACTTACTCATGGATAACAGTGGAGGTGCTGAGCTGCTGCAGACTTCAACACTGCTGCAAAATAGAGTATGTGTTCATATGTGTTTGGGCAACGGACACTTGCTGTGCAATATTATCTTGTCTCTACAGATAAATTAGTTGCTTCATGCTCCTGCCAGCTTGATTTGTTTAGCCTTTGCAGAGTACAGAGTACATGGAGTTTCTTGTGATTGAATCCTACATAAAAGGTAAACCTGAGAGTTTATTCTACACTATGCAATACATCCACCAAGGCAGCTAGAGCATTTTCCGACTTGATGTTAAAAAGAAGGCTATAAAATATGCCAGGAAAATCTTGAAACGTCACTCACTTGACATAGCAATAAGAGCCCTGCATTAAGATGCAGAGCTGATTTCCCTGATCCATGAAATTGCCTGGATATTTAAGGCATTGTCAAACAGAACCGGTATGAAACTCCCCCTCCATTCCTGGCACAAGGACATTGTGGGGCTTGTGCTCTCCCAGAAAAATAGAGCTCAGAATTGCACAGATAAATATTCTGTAAGAGAGGACCTAAACACAATTTCCTTCCTTTCTCAAGTAAAAAGAAATAAGCATTCAAATGTCTTTAACGCTGGAAGATGGTTATGCTTGCTGAGATGCTGCTCAGAGATGTTCAGGCTCTGTGAGTTGGTGCAAGAACTTCTTACAATAAAACACAAAGTGTGCAAGTCTGTGACCACCTCTAGAGAGGGATAAATGCACTGGCCCAATCTGTGGACAGCTATGAAAAAAGATTATGAAGCAATATATTGTATTATTTCATGGTCCGAGATCTGGGACATGGTTCAGAATTCCTTAGCAAATCCATATTTCCAGCTGCTAAAGGGAAAGAAAAGACCCATCTATACTTCCAAAATATCAGGTATAGTTTCTTCCAGACACTCATCAAATGCAAACACGCAGACTGCAATTATGAGAAGATGTCAAAGGACCATCAGCTTTCCTAGAATGCTGACCTGCAGGCTCTGCTAGCTTAGATTCAAAGGAGGACAGTGGTCAGAAGTACATCAATAACAGAATTACCTGTTGGATTATAAACAGCTTCCCATTAGGTAACCAGGAAGGTTTTAGTCCAAGGGGCACCGGTAAAGTATCCCAACATTGCAGTACATGGTACACCTGGCTGAAACCTGCACACACCAGCTGCTTTCACACTACGAACAGGTAACATTGACAGACAATCTTGTCATCGATTTCTATCAGAAATTGCACTGAAAGGGTAATCTCCTTTAAACTTGGTGCATGTATTTCATATGTAATTTTTGGCATCTCCACAGCAAAGAAAGACCCAAGACTCAAACTGAGGTCCAAGATTTTTCTTGGACATGGACTACCATTTCTTTTTGCTGACGAAGAAAGAGAATTTCCTCAACTTTTTCAGATAAAATTTCTCAGTCAGTTTTTGTCTTCAGCTGATAGTTCTTCCCATTTTGTAGTAAAGCTTTGCACTAATCAGTTTAAGAGAATCTATGCTCTCCCCTTGCTTCCTGTAGTTTTTTTCCTACAGTAGCCTATATTTTCACAGGTATGCAAAATTACACAAAATGTGAATGGAAAGGATTCTTAAAGCTGTCTGGTGTGTGACCCCATTCAAAGCAAGATCAGCTACATCTAATTATCTCCTGACATACACTTGCCTACACTATTGAAACAGTCTCCACAAAGTCCCTTGGATATTTGTTGTGATGCTTTGCTATTCTTACTATTAGCATGTTTTTCTAACATTTAGTCTGTACCAGAAGTTTTAAATAAAAGTTCCCTTAGAGGAAAACTGAAGTATTGTGCATTCTGATACATGAAAAAAAGCACATGCAAGAACACATGACATTGAATTTAAGGTTTATAAATTATTTGTAGATCACATAGGTAGCTTTTCAAACTTTCTGATTCAAAACAGTTTAAATGGAACCAGCTAATTACGCTCACATTGAAGAAGATCTTGATCATAGTAATTTCTTCCACAATTCAAGTTTTGAAAGCTCTAAGTTTGCTGAAGAAAATAGTTGTTGGCATTTTTGGATGATAAGCATCCCAAAGTGATGATGATAAATTACAGTGTTGCCCAACGATGCAGAAAAGTAGAGAAATGCAAACTGCTAACCTCTGATTTATGAATACAAACTCTTTATTACAGAGTCTCGGGGTTCACAGCTGTAAGAGCAGGTCATTTTCATCTCACCACTTATTAGAAGTGTGAGAGGGAAGCACGATGGGTGGCTACCATTTTGTAATGTACCATATAGATTAATGTTTAATGCTTTTTGTCTCCAGTACAAATATCAAATGATACAGAATTTCTCACCTTCGAAGGCCTACATAAGCATTTGTTACTGTTCTTAATCACAGACTGGATGGGAATTTTTACAGCTAGTTGTGCTCATTCATACTAGCAAATTTTCTCATGTTTTAATACTATCTTTCCCATAAACCTTTTCTTTATGCAGAAAAAAAATCTGTCCAAGATGTTACAAGAAATCCAGTGATCTGTTTGTTAAAACATGTTGATGTTAATGACAAAATTTATTTCGGAAAGTTTTTAAACTGAGACTTTCACCTATTAAGAGGCAATTCGAGGGAAATCCCCCCAATAAACTCTACATCACAAACCAGGACATCTGCTTTGTCACAGTACTGAAGTAAATTGTATTACATTACTTCATTACTGCTTAGCTTCCCAAAGCTTGGGGATTTTCTAATTTCTTCTTCACTCTCCCTATTACCTCTCTGTTACATATTCAAAGCAAGCAACAAAAAGAAGTAGGAAAAATAAGGTAAATATAGCAAATTGCAAAGAAGTAAAATGTTTCTATAAGCCACCATTTGGTTGATACAGTTATCTTAAGCAACCCAAACAGCTTCTGTGAGACATCTAATTTGATTTTACAAAGTGCTAACCCACAGCCATATTTGACTTTCCTTTGATTCCAAATGTAAAAAATACCCTTTATCTAATGTTCAGGCACATAATCTAACTACACACGCATTTGCATTTGCATTACGAGGCAGTGAAACATGGCTGGAGAGCCATCTTGGATGTTATCTATATTATTACTCAAGTAGAGAGTATAATCATAAATCCTTTTTTTTCCCTTCAACCCCCACCTTTTTTTCCAGAAGTACACTTAAAATCTGGTTTTCAGCATCACTGGCTGCATTACATTTGAACTTCAGTAACAAGAATGTGATATGAGTATGTGCAGAGAAAGTATAGACAAAAGGTATATTTTCATATTGTGGTTCAGTTTAACTGTTCCTATAATTAGCTACAACTCATTAGGCAATAAAAAGACAAACAAAGAGATTATGAATGGAACAGCAATGCATTCTCCATAAAGCAAATAAAAACCTTAAACAGATGCCTCTTTTCTAAGGCCTTCCTAGCATAAATACACCCAGCAGCTTAGAAAAGATATTTTCATGATTGAAAATTTTTGGCTAGAAAGCAAACCTGTAAACATTATCCTGTGCAATTGCAATAAAAAGTATTTACAGCTATTGTACACTTGGGATGTTTTGATCTCAAGGATAAAATAATGATACAGCAATGGTCTGCAGATGACTAGCTTTGATCTTTTATTAGTTCTTATAATTGTCTCTTAATTTGTATTCTGCATAATAAGCACTCACCTTCACCGTTTGTCCAGCTTCAGGGCCATCCTGTAGGCAAAGGGAGAAGTCTCAGGTTAGAGGAACTACAAGGATCACACAGGAATTCAGGAATCTTACTCCATAATCATTTTCATCCAACTTAACTGTATGTTAATTCAGTGTATCTTCCTAGGGACCATTCAACACAAAGTTTTTGGACAAGTCACCTTTTCATATTAGCTCATGGAAAAATGAGAACTTGTATCCTAGACTACAAAAATGACAGTTGTTACTTTTCATTCTTTCAGATCGTATTTTTGAATAGCTAGCAATAGGTTTCTGATCTTTGTGAACATAAAACTAGATGTATGTGAGAATTTAATCAAAGCATGCTTGCTTGTATTGTTATTCTAATGAAATGGGCTGTCTCCTGATTTGCTTTAAACAGAGCTCTAGTTCTTGTTTTGGTACAAAACCACCCAGCACTAACGACTAAAAGGTGAGAAGAGATAACACATTTACATGGCTACATCCCTCTGTCTGCACCTGTGAGCAGGAATTAACTGTTTCCATCTCAAGCAGCGGGTTATTTTTCAGGGAGATGTGGCTGCCTTCTCTAGCCCATCCTACAAACACTTCTTGAAAAGTATTTGCTGAAATACTCAGAAGCAAGTACGACACTTGGGAGTGTTTGCAGGCTTATTTCAAAGTTTTGCACTTTTTGCCAGTTTGCCTTTTTAAAATTCTTTTAATGGCAAAATCGGCATACTGAAATGCAGTTGTTGCACTTTATTTTTTTTTTTAATTATTATTTTGCATGTATTGCCCCTTGAATTTTGAATGTCCTTTTGCAATTGAACTACAGAAGAAGGTTGAAAGCTTGGTAAAACAAACCAAAACCTTTTTTAGTTGACTGGTTTACAAACCTGAATCGAGATGGTGAGCGAGGTGCCGCAGAAGTGTTTCTCCACCACGTTGCCAACCCTTTGCGCCGTACAAAATAAATCAGCCACTTCCTCAGGACACAAGTCACGGAAACGCTCCACTGGCCGCAGAGGACAAACAAGGACATCTGAAGGTGGTATTGTCAAGGCACAAACCCAAGTGTGAGTGGTTCAGAAGGATGAGTGTCCCAACCCCCAGCCTGTAACCTGCTTCTGATTGCAGGAAGAGCAGTCAAAACATAAGGCTAAATACAAAGAAAGATGATGCTTTGTTTAAAAGTCTCCTCAAATCCCTCAGATATGTGCAAAATTACTAAACTAAGGTTCATATGTTTCTATTGAGACCTCTAAAGAGAAGCAAAATTTTCACAGACTTGAAGTTACCATTTGGATGGAGAGAGGCTTGTATTTAACCCCTTTGAATAGGGGAAAAGCGAAGAAATTTAAGATTGGTTTGGGTGTGTGATCTGAGACAGCAGTTTTACAATGCTTTTCCACAGATGTGGTCTTACAAGGAAAGGCTGGGGTTGTTTAGCCTGGAGAAGCAGAGACTCCAGGGGAAAACTACCCAAAGGGAAGGTGTAGTCAGGTGGGGGTCGAGCTCTTCTCCTGGGCAGCTGGTGACAGGATGAAAAACTGTGTCAGGGGAGGTTTAGGTTGGATCTCAGGAAACACTTCCTCATGGAGAGGGTGCTCAGGCACTGGAATGCACTGCCCAGGGAAGTGGTGGAGTCACTGTCCCTGGAGGTGTTGAAGGCGAGGCTGGATGTGGCACTTAGTGCCGTGGTCTAGCTGATGTGGTGGTGTTGGGACACAGGCTGGACTTGAGGTCTTTTCCAGCCTCAACAAATCTGTGGTTCTGTGAAGAGCTGACATTATGCTGATAATAGCAGATCCCTTATTTCTACATCACATTAGTTACCATTCACAAGGAATGCTCACCCTTTATAAATACATACAGGCTTAGAAATAAGTTAAGACAATTAAGACTATTCCCTTTTAAGTGGTGTTCACAGCACTGTAAATATACTTTGATTTTATTCTACCTTGGTGACTGCGCTTCATGAGTCAGCGAAACGAAGCTATAAAGTAAACAATGGAAATACACAGACACTATTCACAGCCATCTGATCTGCTATGTTCACAGAAATTAATAATTGCTATGATTCCTCACTTGAAAGTCAATTTTGTGACATTATTAATAGGGTCTAGAATTCTTAGCAGAGCCTCAGTTGTATAAATCCAGCTAGCAAGTACTTGGGACCTGATTCTCATTTCAATTCCCTGTAGACAGGATTATTTTTTTTTTTTAATTACAGTATTCTGTTTGCAGAATAAAGACCTGAAAATCACCTTTAACACTACTTGAACTTTCATAACCAAAGGCAATGAAAATTAACAACTTCTTATTTTTTCAGTATTAAAACAAATGTTCAAAAGACTATTTGAAGAAAATTAAGTTCCATGCCATTGTATTACAGTCATCATTATTTTTACTGCATCCTGAAGCCTGCAGGTATTCAGCAATATTCTCTCTACTCCAGGAAAGGTAACTAGGAGATGCTCTGTAGTTAACAGGTTCACGCAAAGGTTACATAGCCCTGATTTTCAAGAATCACACAAGGCATTTGAAATAAAGAAAGATTAATACATGCGAAAGATGATTCATTTCCATAAACACAGAAGCAACTTGTTTACATTCAAGTTTATCCTACGAATTGACTGGAGAGAAAAGCAGACATTTGCTGGAAGTAAAGGAATGCGAACAGGTTTCATCATCTTTCAGAGTCCAGATGAGGACAAACAAGATTGCAATGGATATCTGCTGAAGTGGGGGCAGATCTTCAGTGAGCTCCACAGCTAGCAGCTCCCAACAGAATAGAAGATACAGAGGATACAGAAGATTGCCTTTCTCTTCAAAGCTTTCTGCTTTGAAAATCTTTTTTTTTTTTTTTTTTACTATAGCCTCAGCTATCCTTTTCTCTCAAAAGCTTTTTCCTTTAAAATTTTTTTTTTTTTTTTTTTTTTACTATAGCATCAGCTATGCCACCACTACTCTCTTTTTCTCTTGTTACAATTTATGGAACAAAATTTTAAGAAAGGACAAATATATATTTAGAAAGCAGGTACTTGGAAATAAACCAATCCTGGACACAGACAAAAAGCCTAGTTTTGTGGAGGCTTAGTTCTAAAATGCTGTGCCTCTTGGCAAGCTACCGGGCATAATAAAACTCTAGTAATCTATTTGTGCCTTCCCAGCACACTGTACAAACCTCTATAAAGGATGCTATTGGCTGAACTTAGGGCCCAAGGGAAGAGCTGGAAACTTGCTTGGCAGACCTGATTTCCATACCAGGAATGAAGGAATAGAAAAACCAATTAATTTTACTCATAAAAAGGAAATCCATGTCAACACTAAAACAGGAAAAAGGACATTCATTTAATCTCAGTTCATTTTTCAAAAGGAGAGAAGGGAAGCTTTTACCCTTAGGGCATCTGATACTTAAGTAGATAATTATCCTTCTTCTGCAGCACTGCTTTATTATCATGGGTCAACGAACCATTTATAAATGAAGAATTTCCCCTCACTTACCTCTAGCAAAATTGCTGCTTACATTAAGACAAGTTTTCCTTTCCTCCTTTAGATTTTTTCCCAGTAGTTTATCGCCCTTTCAGACTTGCTCACGCCTCACCAGCAATTGTTTGTTCTCTACCTAGCTCAGGGCCACAGACACAACTATGAATTTTTGCATTAATCATGGTTTCTACAACCTTCTATTAACACTGCACTACCTGCCACCGTGATGTGTTATGAAAAACATGGACTAAACGCTGCTTGCAGGAGCTTTTGTTTCCATAGCACATAGGAGAGCGAGAGAGCACAGCGCGAGTGCTGGTTGTGACCAAAACAGGACATGTATTTTCTCTTCTTAATTCTGTCACTAATCTACTCTCTCTTTTGGGCAAGTTGTCTCTGTACCCCTCTCTCTCTTCTTCCACGCTTCATCTGTCTTATCTGCTTAGATAGCATCTATCTGTTGGTGCAACGGGTGTTTTCTTACTAAGCCATGAGGCTCTCAGCTCATGTGGGGCTGCAAAGCGCCCATAAATGATGTCGTTCTGCAAAAAGGATTTTCACTTCCTCCTTACGTTTCCAAGACTCATTTACAACTCAAACTAGATTTTAACCACATTTCTGTCTTTGCATGTGATAAATAATTCAAAGGCACAATTACACACTGGAGCTTCTTTACTGAACTTTCCATCATTTCAAAATAATTCTACAAAGAATAATGATAGAAATTCTGAATCAGAGCTAAATTAACATGAGAATGTAATTAGGACAACATTCAAGTTATATTTAACTATGAATATATAAAAAGGCAAATGTTAGAATAAATTTATGGATTTGAGGTCATCAAGAAAACAACCATCCTTTGCAACTTTAAATCAAGCTTTTTAAATACAGTTTCTAACACTAGGAGAGTTTTTAGCTTTACATCCTGGTCAGGTTTTAATGTGGATAAATGCTTTATTAACATCAAACTTCTCCCTAAGTTTAAAATTAGATGAATCGTCCATTGCATTCTATAGTTACCCAGTGCAAACACTGCTGTGAACCACTGATGTGCTTCAGGTGATGGGGTATTAAAGACGCCAGTGAAAATGAGTCTGCACTTAAGGTCTGTGTGCAATTACTCCTCAGACAAAAGCATCTACTCCCATCTGAGATGCCTTGGGGCATCCAGCTGCCACTCCAGAAAGGCAGGAGTCTCCTGTATGCCTTGTGTCATATCTGTCAGCCAGGCTGGCAAGCCCGAGTCATCTTAGGGTATCAGAAATAGCAGCAGCAGCCTATGTTTGGGCAGCAGCTCCCACCTTTACAGAGGGGCTCAGCAGGACAAGGACTGATACCCAGCAGAAATGCTGCATGATTGAAGACAGCATTCTGCCTTCAGAAAGTTCAAACTTGTGTTTCCTTTCTCTAACCACCATAATTAATAATTTCATGATTTCTTCATTCATTCTAAACTGTTACTGACTGATGAAGCTTCTATTTTTAAGCTCTCATGTGCGCAGCTGTTATTTCCTTCAAATTCTCTGAGTCAGTCCACATCATTAGAGTATGTGCAATCTAATATGTCAACTTCTCCATTTTAAGGAGCAGAAAACCTCTACACCTTATTATAATCGTGATCATACATTCCTCTCTCTAGATCTTGCAAGAGTCTTTCAACAGCCTTACTCGTTTTCCAATCCCTAAATATGCATACACAAATCAATATGCATACCCTCACACACACTAAAAGCTCCATGAAAGATTTATTAAACAATTAGGAATGTCATTATTTTCCAAAGATTACTGGTAAGACAGTAGACTAAAACTCCAGGTATATTATTGGAAGTGCATAACCATAAAGTAGCAGTAAAAGCAAGAATGGTTAAGACCCATTACCCTCAAACTGAGCTAAAATCATAGGGTGACCTATGATTTCAACAAAATCACTTGTCCTCATATATTGGGCATGGCAGACCACTCCCTGCACAATCTTGGGCTGCTTGTTTAAAGCACCAAAACTCATGAGCCTCCTCCATAATTTAAATTAAGAGCCTCTGTTTGTCGGTCTATTAAGACTGTAACCCATGTGGAGAAGCTCAGACTCGTGGCCAAGCAAGCACGGTTCAGTAAGTTTCTGCACACCAGCAAAACAAGGATGCTGAAATTCATGTGCCAGCTCTCAACCATCAAGGCCGCATGCATTTCTGTAAATCTCTTTCACTCTGTCATTGACCTTTCAGACCATAACTGGAGCCCTTTGGGACTGGCACCCAGAGGCATTTGCTGCAACGTAGTTCTGCAATGGGCACCTGGACAGTGCCAAAGCCATGTTCAATTGGGCCAAGCACAAGTTCCCCATGTACACGTAAGTATTTAAGGACATGTTCAAACAAGATTATGGGTCACCACTGAAAAGTGAGTATCTGTTAGCCACATCATGACTTTAAGTTGATCAGACTGAGAGGGCTCAGATTCTACAAGAAAAGAAGAACACACGGCCAACATCTTCATGTTGACCACTTCAAATGCAATTTTTTTCCCACTAACACACATAGAGTGGAGGCTGAC